AATCATCAGGAAAAAATTAGCTGTCAACTCCCATTTTGTATTTGATTCCCCATAATTTAATCACATCTCTCTTCCCAACACACTAGTACGTATTTACTTCTTTTACAATCCCCATCTATAAATGTTAAACAACAATGGTGACATTACACATCACTGTCTAAGGCCTGCTTTTACTGGAAAGTAATCTCCCTCTCTCCTACACACCCTAACCTGAGCCTCTATATCCTCCTAAAAACTCTTTACAGTGTTTAGTAACCTAGTACCGATTCCATGCACTTGTAACACTTGCCACATTGCTTCCCTATCCACCCTATCATATTATTATTATATTTATGGGAAGTACTAAACTCATAGGTGTTATGCAGCACTTGAGGAATGGGGAAGTAATCAGGTTTCATTCAATGTAGGGAAGGGGTAGTTCAGTTTCCTTCAGTCAAGAACCCTTCATCATCATTAGTATACCCCATTGAAGGGATTAGGTATCTAGTTTAATATTATTTTTTTAAACAAATATATTACAGTATTTCCTCCTAAGGTAGGGTGATCCACAGAAGAAAATGCATTTGTTCGCATCGCTATTGGGCCATGCGGACGTGCTGCGCAGTAGCTCCTGATTGAGTTGGCTTTTGCGCAGTGTTGACGTGTACTTAGCTCTGTGAAGACCTGTTTGCGCGTGCTCTACGAATTGAAGCAAGATGCCCTCCATCGAGCAACTTTGCCAACAGCTTAAAGAAGAATTGAGGATGGCGAAGTTGGAGATTCGGTGACTGACCGAGGAAAACAAGAAGATTCGTAGTAGTCCTCCTGTTTTGAGTCCTCAGGTCAAGAAGGGAAACTGGTCAGTGGCTGGACAGCAGGGAACGAAGTTGACGATCAAGAGGACGAATGGAAAGGTAGAAACGATGAAGAAGAAAGAGACTGCCGTGGAAACTGTTGTGGAAACATCTAATACATTCTCAGTGCTACCCGACGAATGTGAGTCGACTACTGGGAACAACACGACGAACGTCACCAAGGAAGGTAAGAATATTGTTGTTGTTGGGGATAGCCAAGTTAGGTATATGGATAGGGCGTTCTGCTTGAAGGACAGGAGTAGGAGACAGAGAGTTTGCTTTCCTGGGGCTGGGATGGAGGATATTGTTAGCCGTCTGGATGACATCATTGAGAGGTAATGGGAGCAATCCTATTATCTGTCTCAGTGCTGGAGGCAACGATGTTGGCAGACGTAGGAGTGAAGACTTGAATTAGCAGGTATAGGTCAGCAATAGAAATAATTAGGAGTAAGGGTGGGAACCCTGTCATATGTGGTATTTTGCCAAGGAGGGAGTTGGAAATGAATGGTTGTCCAGGGCAATTGGTGTCAATTGCTAACTGGACAAATACTGTAAGGAAAATGCGGTAACATTCATTGACAACTGGGACCTCTTCTATGGCAGAAATTATATGTATGCCAGGGATGGGATTCACTTATCTAGGTGTGGGGTGGAAGCACTGGCAACTGCAGTGGAGGGAGCAGTTAGGACTTTAAACTAGGAATAGTTAGTGGTATGGGTTTTGGCAGGAAAACAGTGAAGTCCCAGTGTAGTAATATTACGAGTTCTAGGGGAACTAGTAATAAGCAGAATGAGGTAGATATTGAAAAGCCAGGGACTTTGGGTGATAAGGACAGTAATAGGTTTAGTAGAAAAACAGAAATGAGCAGAAGGGTAAAGAGAAAGGAGAGTCTTTCAATGTTTATTATGCTAATTGCCGTAGTGCTAGGAATAAGATGGACGAGTTGAGATTAGTTGCTAGTGCAGGTAACATTGATGTATTTGCCTTAACTGAGACTTGGTTTAATTCAAAAAGTCGGGACATGCCTGCGGAATGTCCATATTCAGGGTTTTAAATTGTTCCAAGTAGATAGAAGTATCGGGAAGGGGGTGGGGTGGCATTGTATGTCCGAGATCGCTTGAACTGTTGCATAAAAACGGTATTAAGTCTGAAGTAACACATACAGAGTCTGTTTGGATAGAATTTTCAGAGGGGCATGAAAAACTGATCTTAGGAGTGATATACCGTCCCCCAAACTTAGATAGGGACCAAGGGAGACTACTATGGGAGGAAATTGTTAAGGCCACAAGGCACAATAATGTAGTAATTCTAGGAGACTTTAACTTTAGTCATATTGATTGGAATTTCTTGACTGGGAATTTAGAATCATATGACTTCTTAGAAGTAGTTCAGGATTGTTTTTTGAAGCAGTTTGTGACAGAACCTACAAGGGGAAATAACCTGCTTGACTTAGTTATGGCAAACAATGAATCCCTTGTTAATAATTTAGATATTTCAGAGGAACTGGGTGCTAGCGACCACAAATCAATTACATTTAGCATTGAATGGAAGTACGATAGTAGCGATAACTCAGTAACAGTCCCAGATTTTCGCTTAGCAGATTACGATGGCTTAGAGAACACTTATCATCTGTTGACTGGGGTAACGAAGTGAGCTATCAATATGACAGTTTTCTGAACACTATACATGCTGCTCAAAGAACGTTTATCCCATATAAAGAAATTAGATCAAATAGAAATGACCCAAAATGGATGAATAATAGGCTCAAATATCTACTAGGGCATAAGAAAGGAATTTATAGGCGTATCAAAAGAGGTGAGGGTCATCTTATGAATCAGTATATTGACATTAAGAGGGACATTAAAAAGGGGATAAGAAAAGCTAAAAGGGACTATGAAATTAAAGTTGCTAGGGATTCTAAAACTAACCCAAAAAGTTTTTTCCAGGTCTATAGAACAAAAGTTAGAGATAAGATAGGCCCCCTTAAAAATAACTATGGGCACCTTACTGACAAAGAGAATGAAATGTGCTCGATTTTTAATAATTATTTTCTCTGTTTTTACACAGGAAGACACTAACAATATTCCAGTAATTAATTTTTATAGTGGGCTAGAAGAGGATAAATTATGTAACATCACAGTCACTAGTGAAATGGTTGTGAAGCAGATAGACCGACTGAAGCAAAATAAGTCGCCGGGTCCTGATGAGGTGCAAAATGGAACTCTGTGAACCATTAACTAATATTTTTAATTTATCTCCTCAAACAGGTCTAGTGTCTGATATGTGGAAGATGGCTAATGTAATTCCTATTTTTAAAACGGGGGACAAGTCGTTACCGTCAAATTACCGCCCAATAAGCCTGACCTCAATTGTAGGCAAATTACTAGAGTCAATTATAGCCGAGATTATAAGAAGCCATCTCGATAAGCATAGCTTGATTAATGATACTCAGCATGGATTCACAAGAGGCCGGTCTTGTCTAACTAATTTATTAACTTACTTCAGTAAAGCTTTTGAGGCTGTTGACCACGATAAAGAATTTGATATTATTTACTTAGATTTTAGTAAGGCTTTTGATAGAGTTCCACACCATAGACTGTTAAAGAAAGTGGCAGCTCATGGCATTGGGGGAAAAGTGCTCTCGTGGATCGAGTCATGGCTCACTGACAGGAAGCAGAGCGTGTCCATAAATGGGGTTAAATCCGAGTGGGGATCTGTAACAAGTGGCGTTCCACAGGGATCAGTCTTGGGCCCGTTGTTGTTTATAATATATATCAATGATCTTGATGAGGGAATTACTAGTGATATGAGCAAATTCGCCAATGACACAAAGATAGGTAGGATAATTGATTCAAACGTAGATGTTATGGAACTTCAGGAGGATTTAAACAAACTCTATTCTTGGTCAGAAAAGTGGCAGATGCAGTTCAATGTAGATAAATGCAAGGTTCTGAAGCTCGGGAGTGCCCATAACCCTAGTACTTATAAGTTAAATGATGTAGAACTTAGCCATACAGATTGCGAAAAGGACTTGGGGGTTATGGTGAGCAGCAACCTTAAACCAAGACAGCAATGCCTAAGCGTACGTAATAAGGCAAATAGATTACTGGGATTTATATCAAGAAGTGTAAGCAACAGAAGTCCAGAGGTCATACTGCAGCTTTATACATCATTAGTAAGGCCTCACCTAGATTATGCAGCTCAGTTCTGGTCTCCATATTACAGAATGGACATAAATTCGTTAGAAAACATTCAGCGTAGGATGACTAAATTAATACATAGCATTAGAAATCTTCCTTATGAAGAAAGATTGAAGACTCTTAAGTTACATTCACTTGTTAGACGAAGAATGAGGGGAGACCTGATCAAAGTGTATAAGTGGAAGATAGGTATTAATAAAGGGGATATTAATAAGGTCTTGAGGATGTCTCTCCAAGAGAGAACCCGCAGTAATGGATTTAAATTAGATAAGTTTAGATTTAGAAAGGACATAGGAAAGTATTGGTTTGGAAATAGGGTAGTTGATGAGTGGAACAGTCTACCTAGTTGGGTTATTGAGGCTGGGACTTTGGGTAGTTTCAAATCTAGGTTGGATAAGTACATGAGTGGGAGGGGTTGGATTTAAGAGGGACTTTCACATCAGAGCTTATTTCTTGGGTGGCATTGAAAATTGGGTTGGGCAAATGTTTTGTTAGTGGGATGAATTGTAAAGGACCTGCCTAGTATGGGCCAACAGGCCTCCTGCAGTGTTCCTCCTTTCTTATGTACTTGCTGTCTTTCCATAAGAGTACAGGCTTCATGATCCAGGGATAACCTATTCAACTGTAACATCCTCACTCATGACTTTAGGCACTGTACTTCCCACCTTCATTTTAATTTGTATTTTCTACAAATGTTAAAAGAAGTGCGTGGTTCCTCAATCATTTGTCAGTGATGTGTAATATTAAAATTCTTTAATTATTTGCATAGCAGAGTCATTGTTTATGCTTCTCAAAGAGCTGTAGATCTTGTTTCTTTCATTCTCTTTTCCAGGTTTAGACTTATATATGGCTAATAAACAGCATGCACTTTTATTTGAATTAAGAATTACTAATAGTATGCATTTCAATGCATTGCTATAAATTAACTTACATTTATTGCATTCCTTTCCAAACTCACAAAAACAGCCATGGAAGTGCCAGAGTTAAGCAGTGAACAAGAGTCCTCTGAGAAGAAGTTAACCTCAACACAGTAAATGGTATCTCAATATTGGCACAATGTTTTTGTTTGTGTAGCACAAAACTAGATGGAAAAATATGAATTCCAAGTTTTGTACAAGAAGTTGAGCATTTGCATTTTAGTCTTTTGTCCAAATTCTCTCCATATACATTACATTTTCAATTTTAATTTGAAAATTCTTGGTCACTCCATAGAAAAACATCAACATATTTTATTTTGTAAGTATATCAAGCCATACATAGTATATATAATTATGTACATATTATATATGAAATATATATGTATAATTTATGAGCATGCATATTATATTAAATTATAATTAACAGATGTGCCATGCTAGTTGCATTTCTGAGAATACAAATATTCTCTTAACATTACATACATAAAACACTAAATTATTGTCCCGTTTCTTCATTGTTTGACTTAAAGAAACGCTAATGTGGCACAAGAAAACTATCTCTATTTGTACAGAATTCATCCATAAGATTGTATCAAGCATATTTAGTTGTGATGCCTTTCAAAGCTCTCATTGTAGGTTGGAAAAGACCACTTTAGAAAGAAATATTGAAAACCTGAACAAGTGTTTTGAAAATATGGGTGATTATTATGTAAAATCTGAAAAATAAGAAGCAGTACAGTGATTATGTTTATCATATTTGACTTACAAATAAGTACATTTCATTCATTTAGTTTCACATAATTTTTTTCATTGAGACTTGTACAGTAAATTAATTTTATATTATGATATTTTTAGATTAGTGGATTAAACCAGACTTCCTGTATGGTGTACATATGCATGACTGTTTCATGTCAGTCTATAGATGGTCATTAGATGTCATTTAATAGATGGGATCAAGAGCTGCATCACAGCTCCTGCAAACTCGTACATGTATAAGTAACTTAGCAAGTAGCCATTACACCAAACCTGTCCCCTGAAGCGCACAAACAGAATATTTTTTTTACACTGATCAGTTTTACAGGCTAAGAGCTGTTTATCTTACCTCAGCTCATTTCAAAGCTGAGCCCTATCTAAGGTATACTACCACTTCCTGAGATGTGACCCACAACAATCAAGTAACACCTAGGTACCTACTTACTAGGTGAACAGGGGCAGCAGGTATAAGGAAACATCCCCAATGTCTCCACCTGTGCTGGGGATCAAACCATGAACCCTCATTATGTAAGGTGAGTGCACTGTCAACCCAGCTGCGGGACACCCAATTAGCAGCACTTTGTGTGTGCAAACCATCCTTGAGTTTGCAATGCCAGCATTGAATACTCACCTAGTCAAATACAAAGCAAAACTTAGTCAATGGCTATGCATCCAGAGCCTGAATTGAAAGAGAGAATGTAACGGCTAAACCTCCTGTTTCGGGAGAATGAGGAATAAAAGGGTACTAGACAGTAAAGACAGTCACCCACCTTGGAGGAAAAGTCATAGTACCAGTTATTTGTGACAGTGGACCACTTGGAAGGGAAGCACATCATGAGCCTGGACATGTGAGACAGTTAACTGTGGCACCAGGCAGGAAAGCAGGTCATGGTATTACACATTTAAACATTAGATCATTTAGGAGGGTAACACCTCCCAATACCTGACATTTGAGACAGTGAACCACCTGGGAGGAAAACACCTTATAGTACTGACTAAAGAAAAGGTCATATGCTAGACCTGTCACTTACAATACACAGACATAATAGTTCAGATGCATACTTACATTAGCAAAAATAAGGATGCTCTACAGAAACCTGAACATAGACTACTTAGAATTGCTTTTCACCACACATGTACAACCACCCCTTGAGTAAACATTACATGAAGTGGCTCTTGTATCACTAAATGTGCATAGATCAAGAAGACACATGATTATGACATACAGAATACTCTTTAGTGGGAGAGTGGGAAAAGACTTTGAAACTACACCCAAACAAGCCATAAACATTAGAAAACATTTTTACCGTGGCCCGGCCTGTGACCAGGCCGTGGGGGCGTTGACCCCCGGAACTCTCTGCATGTAAACATTATAGTAATAGCCAAATCTGTATACAGATTTGATGCATAATAAATATGAAATAAATCCACAGCCATTAGCCAAAAGTTAAAGCAGGCCCATGAGCTTTAATTCATCTCATATAAACTCAAATAGGTCTGCTTTTGTAGCTACAAATAGGTAATTAAAATTTCATGAAAATATAATAGAGACCCCAGCTGCAAAGAGAGTGAGTTTTATGGTGGGAAATTGCTGTAATATCTTCAGTCAAATAAAACTAGTATTACAGTGCATAAATTTTTCTCATCTTTGAATAAATCACTGGTTCCACAGCAGTAACAGTTGTAGTGGATGGAAAATTCAGATTTTTTACACAATACTTATTTAAATGCCATGATGGTGCTGAATGACTTGAATGAGTTAGTGCTTCATCAAATACTGTACTTCAGCTCAATAGACATCCCAATCAGTAAACTCACCATAACTGCCCATCTTAAATTAGACAACATACAGCCACTTATAAATACTGTACTTAAATCAGAATGCAAATAAAAATGCCAGTATTTAAATCTTTGAGGCAAGTATCTAAATGAATCTCAGCACATTGTATTGGTTCTTTCCTTTACCTTAACATTTTCCTTTCCACTTCCCCTTCAGTATACCCTTATTTCATTACAAATAATTTCAACTATATATATTATTAATGTTAATATTGTAATTGCCTAATTCATGTTTGGGGGAGAGAATGTGTGGGAGTAAATATAGTGAGTGAAGGAAAGATGGAGAGATGGTTTGAAATTAAACTTAAAAAAACAAAACCCTGAACTAGTTAACTAGAGAATTTTAATATCTGTTTAGAAAAATAAGATACATATAAAAGGAAAGTTAGGGGTGTTGACACTTTTACAGGTTACAGAAAAAAATTCATGGTAAATATAGGCACCATTGTAACAGGGAAGCTAGTTCAGGGACACTCCAATTTAGACACACCACGTGCTCAAGAGGTATTTAATTTAGCAATTTTTGTTTTCCTGGGTGAGTTTTTACCTATTAGATCTCCAGATACCTCTGACTCTTATTCAAATCTCTCAAGCTCTTTGAGCATAGTTTTAAGGACTTGCTCAAAAGTTGTCACATGATCCACCCTCGTTTTAATATCCCAATCTAAAAGAAAAACAGCAAGACTCGGCTTTATTTTCAAAGGTGTTCGCACAGGCTTATAAACTCTTCAGTTTTGTTATAACTTTCATAGCCTTCATGCTCAGAGTGATTGCAGAACTAAAGTTAAAAAGATCATTAAAGGTAGTGCTCTGTTGCCAAGGGAAGTATTGTGCAGCATTGGAGCACCTTAGTGATTTTATAACTTGCATTATTAGCTATCAAAGAATTTTAGCTCCACAGACTGGTCATGGAATATTTAAATTTATAAAAACAACTTCTGGGGCCCCTAAGTACTCTGTCAGGAATTACAAGGGTACATGTAAAGCTAAGTAAGTTGTCCACATTGACCATCTGCATGTCACTGGCAGAACTAGATCACATCAGCTGATCGAAAGACACTCTAGAGCTGGAACTCGACTCTCCCTCCTCCTGCAAACTCATAATAGATAAGAACATCTAAACAGTAAATTGATAGCAGAAACAAATCCATACGTGAATTTAAAAATACTGTACCTATATACAACAGCTGAAGTAGCTAGTAACTAACTACAGCAGTTCAGCGATTCTAATTATTATGATGACATTCATGGGGGAGTGCCTTACACCTCCCTTCAGCAGTGAATGATGGTAAAGATATAGGGCCAGGAGTTAGAGCTTGAGCCCTGCAGGCACACATAAAAAAAAAAAAAAAAAAAAAGCCATAATAAGCTTTGGATATATTTTTTAATATTTAAAAATCAAAGGTACTGTAAACTTGAAACTTACACTTCATTCCATTATATATCAAGCAGTGTCAGTATTTTCTTCCAATAATTTGTATGCACATATAATACTTCGCATACAGAATGAGTGTTTTAAGGTGGTGTCAGTTAAATTGGGACCAATTTTGATGGTTAAATTGACATCAGTCCTTGCATTAATCCTACATATACTGTTATTTCTTACAGATTTTTGTATAACATTATTATATACGTAAGTCGTGAAACAAAAAAATTAACACTTTCTGAATACATATATAAAATATTTTTAAAAGTATTTGTGTACAGTATATGCCTATGTGCATATTCTTATGATAGTTTGTCCATATTCATCTACATTTGAGTTAGCAAATGCAATCATATGTACATGTACACCTACATACCTATACATGTATATATATTAAATGCACTTTGTACCTGGAAAAGCAAAGAATTTTAATAAGGGATATCTTCCAAGTGTGAAAAGTTCATCATTACTTATCAAATTGGAAATAAAGCCTTAGCATTTCGGTTTGTCCTCGACAATTATCAAAGTCACAAGTGATGTGATAGACGACATTTTAATCTGTCCTGGACGCTTAAGTTTTATCTCCAATATATGGAATAGTTATTGAATTGTTCCAGCTGCACTATTGTGATCTGGCATATTGTTGCAAGGACTAAAGCTTCTGTAATTTTTTTTTTTTGTCACAAATACTATATTAAAAGGTATACATGTAAAAACAAATACAGTATATTCTTCATAAGCATAGCCTTGTATATCAAATGTTTATTGTAAACCCACATGGAAAGTCAGGATGTAATACATGTACGTGTATTAGTGTTATGTACTTGAAGGGACAAGTATGTAGTCATTGTAAAACATTACAGATTGCTACAGGTATAGATTTTTATTAATTCATTTATGAAGTTTTCCTGACAAAATACATACCAATTGACATTATATAACTTCAAAAATTCAGAAATCACCTCGTGTAAAAATAAGACTGCTGTCTCAAATTTGTACACAATTATAATACGTAATGCAGTTTTCTGAATTTTCTTTTCAGTATGGATTTAGACATAGTTTTAAACATTTATAGAAGTGTTGGTACCACTATAGGAATGAGGAGGCTTGAGGCAATGAAAATATCATGTTGGAAAGCAATGTGGTGTGAACTTTTTGCAGAGAATTTAGAAATTAAAAGCCAATGTGAGATCACCTAGGGTATATAGTCTGCATGGAAAGTTATGATGTTGGCTGCAGAACAAACTTTTGATGATTCCAACATATGGCAACAAATGGTTGATGTCTGGACTTCAGAGAAATCTTGGAAAATACTCTTACACCAGTTGGAAGTGGGGCCATGCAGCTTGAAGAGGGGTCTCAACTGCATTGGGTTGAACTCTGCACTATGTTTAGTGAAGATCATATGATGATATACTTGATAGATGATAATGTTAAAAGAGGACATTGTTTCAACAGCATTTTTTTCTCTGCTGCACCTCCAAAGTAGCCATGAAGCAGAAAACAAACACTGACCTCTTCTAACATTATTTTCCATTACATATACCATCATCTGAGCCCCACTGAACATAGTGCAAAGTTCGACCTAATGGCGGAAGCGCCCATTCTTGAAGTTACATGGCCCCACTTGCAACTGGTGTAAGAAAGTCCAAACTTCAACCATCTACTGTAATACATTTCACTGAACAAAAGTTTGTCCTGTAGCCAGTGTCATAACTTTGTGTAGACTTTTTTAGCTCTCTGAATTAAGAATTATTGACATGATTTGGTCATGTAGTGGTTGGAGATGACATTATATAAAATTGGGATGGGGGTCATCTCAGGAATGGCTGGAGGGGGTAAAGGAGACTGAGTTTTTGAGGCTTGAGCATCCAGCAAGCTTGTGTGAGTGTTACTAAGAGTATGTGAAACAAATGGTTCTAAAGAAAAGTGCTTTTGGAGTATGAGCAAGGCAATATTTATGAAGGGATTAAGGGAACTGGTTAACTGGACTTGAGTCATGGAGGTGAGAAGGGCAGTGCCTGCAATGTGGAGTGGGAATAACACACACCTAGCAAAATAATGACTGAATGAGTGATGGTGAATGTGTGTACTTTTTTTGGGTCATCCTTCCTTAGTGGCAGATGGCTCTTGAGATAAATAAAATTATTACAGTAGACCTAATTCAGTAAAGTGGTACTTTGATCACTAAACTACCAGTGGTTACTGATTTAATAGCTTTTCCTTCAAAGTACATTGTAGCTCAAATTTTTTTTATTTTTTCATACTTACCATAATATTCTCATGCATAGATTGTATGAGTAACTAATAATTAAATCTGATAAACAAAGTTTTTTTTTTTTTTTTTTTTTTTTATAGAAAACCAAAGGTTTTTAAACTTATGCATTCCTTGAATTGAATCTAGTCAGGTAATAACTGTATATAATACACATAAAAATAAAGATAAAATCCTAAATACTTAATAATTTATAGTAATAATTAAGAGCATGAAGCAAAACCTGTGAACAAGCCAATGTAGTTTTGTCTACATTTTTATAAGTGATCCTTTATTATCAGCTTGTAAACTATATATTTTATATGTGGAGCAGACAACTCCTTTTTCTCAAAAATTCATTTGTAACATTCAAAATCCTTCTGTAGAGCATTTTTCTAAAATATCTTAAAAATATTTCAGCCCATGAAAGGTTGTTGACGGGGTTGGAATAAGCACAATACTGTATTTGCTAGATATATTTGGCCGCATGAATGAAATAGAAAATAAGTAAAAAATTGAATGAGATTGTGGGGAAGAGGTTAAAATATTTAAGTGGGAACTATCTATAGCAATGAAACTAATTTGCCACTATATTTCTAGGAAAGTACAGTAATGAAGATAACACATTCAGAAAAGGTAATTTTTTAGAAGTTGAGTAATGCCGACAAGTATTTACCAAAGAACACGTCAAATTCATTTTTAATCTTTTTCAGCATCTGGGCGCTCACATTGCCTGCTCTTTCAGTACATACGCATTATGATTTCTTGACTGAAACTGATTATACCAATTCTAGCTTTCCTTGTGGCACTCGACTCCCCTAAGCCAATAGAAGTGTTTCCCTCAGTCTGTTAGTGCTTTGTGAGCCATACGGGTTGAGCACACTTGGTGAATAATAATGACAGGTATGGGAATAATGACAATGTTCATTACAAGTATTTATTGGGACTGCTTCAGGACTTGATAAAGCTCAACACTGAGTAAAACATTTATTATTTTATTAACACATCGCTTGATTCCCAAAAAAGAAAAACTTTCATCATTCACTCCATCACTGTTTTGCCAGAGGCGTGCTTACACTAGTTATAAAACTGCAACATTAACACCCCTCCTTCAGAGTGCAGACACTGTACTTCCCATCTCCAGACTTGAGTCTGGCCTGCCGGTTTCCCTTAATCCCTTCATAAGTGTTACTTTGCTCACACTCCAACAGCACGTCAAGTATTAAAAAAACATTTGTCTCCATTCACTACTATAAAGTTCGCTCACACATGCTTGCTGAAAATCCAGCCCCCTCCCCCCAACCTTTCCTAGGCCGACCTCTACCCGGCCTTCCCTCCACTACAGATTTATACTCTTGAAATCATTCTATTTTGTTCCATCCTCTCTTCATGTCCAAACCACCTCAACAACCCCTCCTCAGCCCTCTGGATAATGGTTTTGGTAATCCTGCACCTCCTCCTAATTTCCAAACTAAGAATTCTCTGCATTATATTCACACCACACATTGCTCTCAGATATGACATCTCCACTGCCTCCAGCCTTCTCCTTGTTGCAACATTCACCACCCATGCTTCACACCCATTTAAGAGTGTTGGTATAACTATACTCTCATACACTCCCCTCTTTGCTTCCACAAACTTCTTTGTCTCCACAGACTCCTAAGTGCACCACTCACCCTTTTCCCCTCATCAATTCTATGGTTCACTTCATCCTTCATAGACCCATCTGCTGACATGTCCACTCCTAAATATCTGAATACATTCACCTCCTCCATACTCTCTCCCTCCAATCTGATATCCAATCTTTTGTCACCTAATCTTTTTATCCTCATAACCTTACTCTTTCCTATATTCACTTTTAATTTTCTTTTACATACCCTACCAAACTTATCTACCAACCTCTGCAACTTCTGTTCAGAATCTCCTAAAAGCACAGTGTCATCAGCAAAGAGCAACTGTGACAACTCCCACTTTGTGTTAGTCTATCTTTTAACCCCACACCTCTTGCCAAGACCCACGCATTCACTTGTCTTATAACCCCATCTATAAATATATTGAACCACAGTGACATGACACATCCTTGTCTAAAGCCTACTTTTACTGGGAAATAATCTCCCTCTCTCTTACACTAACCTGAGCCTCATTATCCTCGTAAAAACTCTTCACTGCTTTCAGTAACCGGCCTCCTATTCCATGCACCTGCGACATTGCCCTCTATCCTCCCTGTCATACACCTTCTCCAAATCCATAAATGCCCCTAAAATTTCTTTACCCTTATCTAAATACTGTCCACTTGTATGTTTCACTGTAAACACTTGGTCTACACACCCTCTACCTTTCCTAAGGCCGCCTTGTTCATCTGCTATCTTGCTCTCCGTCTTACTCTTAATTCTTTCCATAATAATACACACACATTGCCAATCCTTAGGTACCTTACCCTCTTCCATACATTTATTAAATAGCACCAACCACTCCAAAACTATATCCCCGCCTGCTTTTCACATTTCTATCTTTATCCCATCAATCCCAGCTGCCTTACCTCCTTTCATTCTACCCACTGCCTCACGAACTTCCCCCACACTCACAACTGGCTCTTCCTCACTCCTATAAGATGTTATTTCTCCTTGTCCTATACATACATGAAATCACAGCTTCCCTATCTTCATCAACATTTAACAATTCCTCAAAATATTCCCCCCATCTTCCCAATACCTCTAACTCTTCATTTAATAACTCTCCTATTTGTAACTGTCAAATCCATTTGTTCTCTAGGCTTCCTCAACTTATTAATCTCACTCCAAAACTTTCTTATTTTCAACAAAATCTGCTGATAACATCTCACCCACTCTCTCATTTGCTCTCTCTTTACATTGCTTTGCTGTATAGCCCTTGTGGCTTAGCGCTTCTTTTTGATTATAATAATAATAATTTACATTGCTTCACCACTCTTAACCTCTCTTTCTCTCCATATACTCTTCGCTTCTTGCATCACTTCTTTTGTAAAAAAAGACCTCTCGTATGCTAACTTTTTCTCCCTTACTACTCTCATTACATCATTTCACCAATCACGCTTCTTCCCTCCCACGCCCACATCTTCGACCCCATTGCCTATACTCTCACTAGCCCGTCTGTCCTCCAAGAGTTGTTTATATCTTACCCTAACTGCCTCCTCTTTCTTACTTGCTGCTTCTATTTTTCTTGTATCCCATCTACCTTTTATTCTCACTGTAGTTACAACTAAAAAGTGATTTGATATATCCATAGCCTCTTTATAAACATGTACATCCTGAAGTCTACTCAACAGTCTTTTATCTACCAATACATAGTCCAACAAACTACTGTCATTATGCCCTACATCATATCTTGTATACCCATTTATTCTCTTTCTTAAAATATGTATTAACTATAACTAAACCCCTTTCTATAGAAAGTTCAATCAAAGGGCTCCCCATTATCATTTACACCTGGCACCCCAAACTGACCTACCACACCCTCTCTAAATGTTTCTCCTACTTTAGCATTTAGGTCCCCTACCACAGCTACTCTCTCACTTGGTTCAGAAGTTCCTATAAATTTGCTTAACATCTCCCAAAATCTCTCTCTCCTCTACACTCCTCTCTTCTCCAGGTGCATACATGCTTATTATGACCCACTTTTTGCATCCGACCCTTATTTTAATCCACTTATTATTATAATCAAAAGCAGCGCTAAATTGCAAGGGTTATACAGCATTAATCCACGTAATCCTTGAATTTATACATTTATATTCCTTCTCAATAATACCATGTTCTGCTCTTTGTCTTTATTCCCAGGCACAGTATTTTAGTTTGCGAGAGGATTATGAGCATGAGCGTTGTGCAACAAAGACCATTAGTGAAATTTGTGGCAAGTAATTTGAATAAAGTCAAAACGTTTTTCAAAATGTAAATTACGCATTTGATTATAGCTCAAATGAGTGTTTTGAATTCTTTTCTTTCTCACAAGGCACTTCGTATTGTACTCGTTACCAAGTTTCTTTTATATTTCAGTTATTCTAGCATTTCTGTAAAATGTAATGAGTAGAAAATATTCCACACTTTTTTATTTCTTTTTACCTTCATTATTTTATTATGAGATTTGAATTGCTTTACTTTATCTTGCAAGAAGTTCATAAGTTTTCAAATACGTATGTACTGTACTGTATGTAAAATTTTTAGCAAGACTAAATCCTTTTTTGTTTATAATTATAATAAAGTATTTCTATAATATATAAATTACAATTATATATTTATTACTGCATGCATGCAAAAGATGTACTGTAGTAAGTTATACAAAAAGAAAAAAAAATTAGAGAACATGAAATACAATATCAGTCATATTACCCAAGGTCTTGTGATTTCTTATAAGGTGTAAAATAAGTCATGTTGCAATTAAATTATTTCATTTATATAACTTGGATATTGTAAGCATAAGTATGTAATGTCAAATCATTTAGCTGTGCAAAGATTATCAAAATCCACATTGTATTTAAGAGGAAGCACTAATTCCATGGGGATCATCAGAGTACCTGGGAAATGGGAAGTAATTGAGGTTGATCCAAGGAAGGGGAGGAAAAATTTAATTCCTTGGATCTGGAGCCCCTCATCAGTTTCAAAGAAACTCTAAAAGATCAAAACCTATATAGGCATTACTCACCTTTCACTTTACTTAACTGGCCAAAAGTTGGATTTATACAATGGATTTTGATTATAGTGATAGGAATTATTTATACTGTTTTATAATGTCTTGGTGTATGGAGTATTTATAAATGCACCTTTGACATCTACTTCCATTTAATTACTCTTTTAATATCCAAACTGTCATAAAAACTTCAGACTCAGCCATTTGTGACAGTCATTAAAAGTAGGTCTGAGAACTGAATCATCATGAAGTGTAATCTACAGTATATTTTTAGAAATGTCCTGTCTCTGAATATGACAAAATTGTAAATGGTTAAGACGTGTTTTTTTTTTTTTTTTTGCTCAATTATATTTTAGTTACTGATAAAGGCATAGGCATGGGGCAGTAATTTTACTCCCATATGAATTCAAGTTTGTGCACAATGTTATTTACAAAGAATGCATTTTTAAGAGTACCATAACTTATATTTATCCAGTTGTCACCTGTTGCAGGATGCTGTTTCAGCATGTAATTGCTCTAATTGAAATAATAGTTTATTATTGTACTTTTAACTGTTTTAGGATGTGACTTTACTGTGCAACTGCTTGTGACTGAAGAGATTGAGTTACTAATAATGACTTGCTATCCAACTAAAAAAAAATTAGTTATCCAAAATGGTTTTGTGTATTACCTGCTACTATTTTGATGGAGTGCTAAACCCCATAAAGGCAACAGAACGCCTGCATTACATGATAACCGACTTAATACAATGGACGAGAATTGTAACCCAAAGATTACATAGAAGATAAATCGAGTGCTGTATCTACTATGAGAAGCAGATAGCTACTACTGATTTTATTCGTGGGGAAGTGCTATATTTTGTAGTGGTCATAATTCCTTGGAAATGGTAGTTATCTAGTTTGCTCCGAGGTAGGGGATGGTAGCTCTAATTTCCACTAAAAAGTTTGAAATGGGTGATTTTATTAAATAAAATTCACAAAATAATGCACTATGAAAAAGAACGGAGCATCTTATGTGTGTAGGTTTAATGTATCACTTTCAGGGATTCCATCTGCTTGAATAAAATTGATTGCCTCTCATTCTCCAGATGTTCTGTGACCCTTACAAGCTTAGCACCTCCCCCTGAATATATTTAATGTAACACTGCTGTATGTTAACTTAAATGTACTAACCTAGTGTAGATCCTTCAGGCTTGCAAAAATTTCTGACATTAGGGATACATGGTGTGTGTGCATGTGTGTGTGTGTGTACGTACTCACCTAGTTGAGGTTGCGGGGGTCGAGTCCGAGCTCCCTGGCCTGTGTGTATGTGTTAAAAAGTCAGTCAGTCAAACTGAGGGCAATAAACCGTTTTTCAGTTAAAACAAACAAAAAAAAAAATCACTGCAAATCTGCATTAAAAATGAGATTTTACAAAAGGGTGAAAGATTGGAAATGAAGTCAACAAGCTTTTTAATCCTTTCAGGGTTGACAGACCCTCTCCTAAACTTGTTCTCAGGGTCGGAAATTTTTCGAAAAAAAAAAAATTCTTATGAAATGATAAGAGAATCTCTTCCTGATCATAATGCCAAAAGTATGAAATTTGATGGAAAACTTACGGAATTATGCTCTCACAAAGTTAGCAGTCCCAACAATGTTTATGCATCAGAGATTTCGCCCATTTTGAACCCTATTTTCGGCCAATTCCAATGTACAAGTTGACAAAAATCATAACTATTTTGCAAGAACTCCATTTTTTTTCCTATCGAATGAGTACAAGAAACCACCTATTTACCGATTTCACCTATCCAATAAAGTGGTCAGAAATTGGCAATTTTGCCAATTTCACACAAATTTCAAAAGATGCCAAGTTCCAAATAGGGTCCAGAATAAACAAGACGGACATTCCTGGCACTAAAATAACATTTTTTTCTGTTCATTAGTCATGTCCCCAGGCCTCTCTTACATTTCTTTTGCTTTCCACTTTGAATTTTTATTCTCAGAAAAAATAGAAGATTTACTGTCATGCAGACTACTGCATTAGTGTAGAAATGGCATAAATAGTATCAGCGCACTTGTGAAAGAATATTAGACTCACCAGTTGACGTGTATTGGACGCATGGCATGATGTGTTTACTTTTGAACTTTAGCAAAAACCGAACATTTATGCTACTTTGAGCTCAATTTCAAGGTACTTTTCATTGTGAAACCAATCAAAATCATCTCAATTTCTATAATATGTCTTCTGTTCTATTAAATGAGACCAGGAAAACTAAATACAACCATAAATAGCATACGAAAATACACTGCAAATTCACTGTTTTAAAGCAAAAAACACGGTCGAAGTTTTTTTTTTCTTCTCATTTTGCACTGTGCTGCAGGATTTTTTTTTTATACTGTGCACACTGACCACATAGACCCTTTCTTTCATATGTAGGCCTACCAGCTTTCTCTCGCTAGATTTCCTCAGACCGAACCTAATTACCCCCCCAATCTCCCCTCCCCTATCCCATCCTCCCCTTTTTCCATTCCTCCTCCTCCCCCACACCCCTCCCTTTTGCCCTTCCTCTTTTTGGCCTTTGGGATTTCTCCCATGGGCACGCTAGTTCCTAGATAGGGGAAAGGACACCGGGGTCCATCCCATTCCGTTGAGGTTCTTGGCGGTGGCGTAGTTTGCCGTGGAATCTGGATCGCCTGGGGATGTCCCGATCCCTCTCCGGTATCCCGGAGTAGTTTTGGGGTTTGTCTTTCGGGCGAGGGTGTATCTCTGGAAGCCACCTTTCGGTTTCCCGGGGGGTGGTGGCCAAAGGAGGTATGCTTTGTGGCGGACATCCGGCCGCCCTCTCTTTTGTCCACCGAGGTAGCTCGGCAGATGTGAGGTTGCTATCCCGGATTGCTGGTTTACTGGCATGAAGGGTAGGGTATGGCACGGGTTCCATGCTGCATCTGCGCTACTAGCAGTGCTGAGGTCCTCTTGGGCGCGGAGGGAGATTTCCGGCCCTTTCATTCCTCCTGGGAACTATTCCTCCCCGCTCCCCCCCTTTTTTTTATTCTTTTTATTTTTATTTTATTTTCTTCTTTTTTTTTCTTAAAAACAAAAAGCAAAGGAGTAACCTAACCATGGAGAACCCAATCCATGAGCCCACTACCCCCAGGCCCCTTCTTGATACCGCACCCATTCTGACCCTGCCTTGTTTTTTCGACCACTCTTCGGACACTCCTGATGCCCCTGTACCTCTTGCGGGTTGCTGGTTTCCTCACCCGCTTCAGGAAACCAGGGCTTCGACTGACTCCTTCGTTTTTGTCCGAACTCCGCTCTCCTTTGACTATGCTTCCGGCTTCTCCCTCTACGGTACGGCAATTTTCGAATCGCCCCCCATTTCATTGCCGGACCAACTCCGGTCCTACTTCTAAATGCCAACGTCAATCTCCTGATGATGCTCCTTCGTTACCTTCCCATTCTACTCGGAAAAGACCGACACGTCAAGCACTCCCTCTCCAACGCTCAGTTTCGGACCACACAATGGACAAAATTCTTTACTTTAAGACCGATTTCTTCTTCTCCCTACCTTTCTGACCATAGTATTGGCAAAGCGCTCCTGCGTCATGTTGGTAGAGATATTACATTTCATGCTCTCAAGAGCGGTATGCGCATCGTCACTGTCCAGAAGGGCTACCCAAGCTCATGATCCTCTCTCCTTTCGAATATCGATACTACTCCTATCACTATTGAAAAACATCTCTCTCTCAATTCTTGTAGTGGTACTGTCTTTCTTCCCCATACCATAGTCCAACAGAATTTCCAGTCATGTGGAAATGACATTCTTGAACAGCTGGAACTCCGGGATCTCCCAATCCTCAAAGTAGACACTTATGTCCTTCCTGCCCGGGGGCGGAGACGTTACCCTTGCAATGTGGCTCGTTTTAACTTTTGACAGCCGAGAACTCCCATCCTCTATTATATGTCGCGGGAATCGGTTACAAGTTCAAAAGGGTGATACCTACACCGCAACAGTGTAGAAATTGCTGGCGTTTTAGTCACCCAGCGAAATGTTGCAGATCTATGGCCGAATGCCCAGTCTGTGGTGCCGACGACCATTCATACATCTTGCAGTCAACCTCCATCTTGCCTTAATTGTAATGAAGCTCACCCTTCATACTCCCGCCGTTCCCGGGTCTACTTAAATGAACGTGAAATCCTTTTGCCTCAAAGAGGCAGAAGGTCTCCCTTATCCTATGGCAGTTACTCATCTCCACCTCCAAGGGAGACTACCCCATGTTTCTTATTCTCGTGTTTCCAAACATCCCCCCACTTGTGGGGTCCCATCTTCTGCAGCCTCCTCTGTTGTTACCCCTCCCATAGCCACTCCGGCATCTAATCCTTTTGCTGTCCTTGACTCTGACGTCCCGACTACAACTCAGTCTGTTCTCACATCTTCGCGTCCTTCCTCACAAGCCCCAGTATCGACAAGACCTCGTTCGACACCTAATACCAATCGTCCCTCTACTTCTCAGAAGTCCAAAAAATCCACATTGCTCAAATCTTCTTTGCCCCTTCCTTCCCTTCTCCACCTCCACACTTTACCTTTCCAGTCTCTGTACCTAGTTCTTCCCCTCTCTCTGGCTCTATTACAAGTGTGGAGATTCACCCTCCTCCTCAATACTATGCCTTCCACCCCGTCCCCTCCCAAGTTTCTCCCTCTTCTGCCACCTCCCCGGTTTCTGCCTCTTGTCCCCTCCCCACACTTCATCTCCAGTCCCTTACACTCTTCCCTCCCCCTCTACTTTCGTACAGTCATTATTGTCCCAATCTTTACTCACCCTCCTCCTTCTATCTCCAATATGGTCCCCCCATACATCTTTGAATTCAGAAACACTTGAAGCCATTTCAGAAAATATTGCAGAGACTAAACCTTCAATGGACACTGATTCACTTCCTGTTCCTTCTCTTTCCTCTCCTCCATCTTCACCCAAACCCCCTTCTTCGCAATGCTCCGTTTCCTTCGCTGCTTGAACGTCTTCCAATGCCACCACACGTTGACTTTTTTCACCCCCCTAGTCCCTAGGTGCCTTTACCCACAGATTCCTGGTATTTTCATTGCCAATCATGGCCTATTTTACAGTGGAATATCCGCGGCCCCAGGGGTAATCGGGGTGAGCTTCAGATGTTGCTTTCCAGGTTTTCCCTGTTGGTGCTTGCTTACAAGAACCAAAAAATTACACTCGACTGTTTTCCAACATATCTCAGGCTATATTTATTGTATTCTTCGGATCCTTTCTCAGATGGACCTTTAATGAAAGTGCCCTTCTTCTACGCAAAAATTCCGTACGCCCACTATTTGTCCATAAACCTCGCTGCATTACACTGCAGCCCGTATCCACTTGAAAAAAGTGGTTTACAATATGTTCTTTATATCTCTCTCCTTCTTGAGCATTTTCTATCCCAGACTTTGCCTTTCTTGTTTTATCCTTACCACCACCACTTCTGTTTTCTTGGTGATTTTAATGCCCACCATTTCCTCTGGGGGGGTTCATTTTGGGCTCCGTGGCATCCAGTTGGAGGCTTTCTCGCCTCTCAACCCGTCCCCTGTTTTAAATACGGGTACTCCCACCCATTTTGATCCTCGTACTCATACTCTCTCTTGCATCGATCTATCAGTCTGGCTTTTTCCTCCACTGCACTAGACTTCACCCCGGTCTGTTCTACCCCGGGCTTA